TTAGTGTACACCCGCGCCAGAGACTAGGAAAGTATTAGTATCGATTTAGAGTATGCCAGCGCACGCCAGCGTAAAACAGAGTTCTTCGCGAGCAGTTTTGCTCAAGTTCAAATTGCCCGCGAAGACGGGCGTACACTAGCATATGCTGGCGTATGCTAGATTGATACCTACACTTTCCTAGTCGCTGGCCTACGCTTGAAAACATGCCGTGCGTTGGTGTACGCTGACGCAAAGTATGAAGGCAGCAAAGCACTTGTGAGCCGAGAAAGGTGTGACTACCTCCAACTACTTCACCACCAAATAGATTGTTTGCGATGCGATGCGTAAAAATTAACACAACACCTTTAATCTTGCCTTCTGTTATCTCAAGATTCAGTACTGGGACTGGAGAACGTACCAGAAGTGAATAGTTTATGTGATCGAATGGATCCGTACGTTCGACTCGAATTGCTTCCTACTTGTATCTATCCACCACATTGTTTTTCTGTACAAAAGACGCGAACGCTCACACAGTGCGAGGATCTGAAATGGAACCAAGATTTCCAATTGTGAGTGAGACGTCTGTGGCTAGAGCTGGGCTTACTTTGCGAAATGAGAATAGGAGTGTAGCGAATGTAGTATTCCGACGTTAGAGGAGTGTGCCCACCAAAGGAACGCATTGGTGAATCTGGCCATTCAAGTTTCCACTGCTAACCACTACCGTTTCAGTCTCGTTCCTCAGGAACTCTTCTACACTCATGGCTCTTCACTCTGTATCTCAGTCCTGGATCACGATCGGTTTGTTTCTGTGGTTCACTGAGTCCTTACATGATTAATGGTTCAGTACAGGGTGAGGCGAAATGAATGGTGTATCTATATGCTTCGGATTTTTACACACATCATCCTCAAGGGCTCGAAATTCGGTGATGCTTGAAGACAATTCCCGCGATCAAGTGTTACGTAGTAGGTGCTCAATCATGAGCCAGTAGCCAACAAGTAACTCCCCAGTGAAAGAAAAACCAAAAAAAAACCCTGAACAGAGAGACCCCCTTAGCAGTGAAGTCGGCACCTTGGACAAGCTTGTCGGACGACAAGCCCAATCAGCAAGATTGTGTGCAACTAATTCCCGGCAAGAGCATGGGAAATCGCCCTACGACGCTCCAGGCAACGCTATGTACGCACGCAATTCCGCTTGTAAGCCGTTGTCTTGCAGAGTGAAAGTAATCGTGGTTGCAATGGTTGCAATAATCACGCGTCTCTAGCTTCTTTATCTCGCCGTTTCAAATTACGAAAGAGTTATATTCTCCGTGAGTGCGGAAGTTAATGGCAATGCGCGGAGCATTTTGCTGGCTACTGATCGTGGGAACCGTCTTCAAGTAATCGTCAACCTTTCGATGCCTAGGATGAATTATGACGTAAATGGCATCGATTTATCTT